CTTATTTTGTGGCAGCTGTATATATAGTCATATTATCTGTATGTCACAGCTGTTTGTTTTTTTCTTCTGGGTTCTTTTGGGTTAAATCTCAATTTATTATATAAATTATATATAAGTAAAGTCTGACTCAAGTATGTAATCTGCCTAAGCAAATCTCGAGAAAGGCCTCAAGCTATTCAGATAAGTCCAAGACAAGAATCAAATCATCAGGACAAGTCTAAGTCAAGTTTCAAGTCTCAAGAAAGCCAAAGCAAGTCTAAAGTTGTTAAGACAATTCTGTGTCAAGTCTCAACTTGTTTAGACAAGGTCAAGTCTTAAGTCTGTCCGGTCTTGAGTCTTTCAAAGTGAGTTTCGCGTCAGTGAGATGAGACTGAGTCAAACATCAAGTCTGTTAAGACTTATCCAGGTCGAATCTTAAAGCTGTGAAAAAAAACAAAGTCAAATATCAGGCCTTGACGGCAAGTCCAAGTCTGTCAAAATAGTCTCAAGGTAAAGCTCAGATCCTTGAGGTCAATGCCAAGCTAAGTCTCTAAAGTTGTAACAAGTCTTCAAGTCTTTGAAGGAAAAACCAAGTCAAATTAAATTTTTTTCATTTGTGAACTGCAAGACAAAATGCAAGACCTTCAGGCCTTTGAATGCTGATCATTAAAGTGACACATTTTCATAGCTGTGATAATAAGTACTTGGCCTTAGAAGTGTGCTGTTCCTCTCAGCTGAGTAGTTGCACACAAACTTAATTCTAGCAGAAAGAACAAGAACCCTTAACCTTGGAAGCGCTTGAAAAAGGCCTTTGTGACAGAGCTGTCTTCATGTTTCCGTCTGCCATTATAAAGCAAAAACTAGCAGGGCGAGAGCCGGCTATTCACTTGACAAGGGCCAAATTTTAGTGTTTGCCTCTTCCTGAGTGCACCAATAACCCCCACCCCCCCTTTCTTTTGAATACTTGACCCCGAGAGCCGTAGAGTACATCTCTCCCACAGCTGTCTCTTACGTCAGTGCTCGCTTTGTATCCGTCACTATATCTCACCCATGTGTTGTCAGCAAGGTTGAACAACTCAATTAATACATCACACAAAGCATTGAAAGATGAAAGAGTGGATGAGGTGAGGGGGGGGGGGGGGGGGGGGGGGGGGGGGGGGGGGGGGGTAGAAAGAGCGGCTTACACTTGAGATACACTTTTAATGAAGCCTGTCACTGCAAAACAAAGAGGAAAGCAAATCGAAATCCCTTAAAACTTCCACCTCCTACACACTTCATGCCTTCATGTATGTGCCCGACACACTGCAGCAGCAACACTCGATATTAAAATCTGCAATTTGAAGTCGAGAGCTCCTGCTCTTTCCGCACGGCATTCTGCAGCCCGAAAACCTTCATAAAGATCTCATTTCTAAGAGAACAACAACACGGAGGATGTTTTCTAACAGTAAAGTGCACGGAAAATTGCCTTTCAGAATTGCTGTTGTGCGCCAACTCTTGCATGTATCTCATCCAATCGAGTGGTTCCTGCAACCTGAGAGTTTGCTGAAGTGGATGGTTTGAATTTGAAAAGGCAGGCATCGAGATAGCCTCTGCTACACTTACTGGAGCAGGTTCTGGACTTGGTTCTCTTGGTAATTGATCAAGTTGTTTATTTTTTCAACAACTTTTTTTTGGAAAGGTTTCTAAAGTCTGTCAGAGTTTCTGATGAAAGCTCTTTGATGCTCTCCCTCCCTCTCCCACGTCTGTTCGTTTTTAATTTCACATCAAAACACAAGCAACTATAAACTCTCAGTTCTTCCTCTTGCTTTCCATAAAGTCAATTCTCCTTACTTCTTAAGCTCTCGTTGTAATATGGTTGATGCAGAAAAGACTTGCTACTCTTCGTGCATAACCTGGATTTTTTTCTATCAGTGATGAAAGTCGCCTTGAATAGGGCTGAGGACAGATATACAAAAAAAGCAAAAATGCCTCACAGATCCACATTGTCCATATAATGACCGGCAATTATTTATGAAATAACCTTTGAAATTGGTGTTTAGTAGCTAATGTGTCATGCCTATTAGTCAGAGTCATGATGGGAGAGCTTTTGTTTCTTTGTCACATGTTCTTTCGTTAACTTTTTGGTGACCCTTCCTTCCCCCTTGCTTTGGCTCTCTCACTAAACTTTTTTTTTTTTTTTGTCTTCCTCCTCTGTCTCTGTCTTATCTGTCTCTCCCTTCCTCCTGCCCCTAAAGACCCATTAGTCTGTCTAACTAGGCTGTGATTACAGGGCTTATGTATTCAGTGTGTGATCATAGCCAACTTTGTCCTCTGTGTCTCTCTCTGACTGACTGACTGACTGACTGCTCGCTAAGGCACACTGATCCCTCTGTGTATTACCCGGTGTATTCATTTGTTTGCACTTCATGTGCTCCTTTCTCTCTTGCTTTTCTTTTTTCTGTCTCTCTTGCCAACTCGACTTTTTTATTTTTTTTGCGTTTCTCTCTTTCATGTTGGCTCTCTCACTTTATTCTCCTCACCCTCCTCCGCTGATTATTTTCTCTCATCATCTCTCTCTCCTCCTCCCGCCTCAGCCTTCCTCTGTGTCTCTCCACCACCCTTGCCCTCTCTCACTCTAATCTCCTCCAAATGCCTCTATGTTATCAGCTAACCACAGAACCATGCTTTGGGCACCCGGCGGTGTTAACCCAAAAACAATAAAGTTAAGTGTTTAGTAAAGGATCTCTCATGGTCCAGCAAGGCTTCTCCTGCTCCTCTAACCGAGGCGCTGATGTCTCCTTTTCAAGCATACCCAAAAAAAGAAGAACAGGCTATTCATAGTCATTGTCTTCTGAGGGTTTTGGCTATCCAAACTGTGTTGATACTGAATGCTGTGTCTCTTTTTTTTTTTTCTTTTTTTTTTTTTTGAATCTCAAACAGTATTTATGTAACCTTGTATTAATATTCTTCCCCTGAGCGGATGAGAGAAATGAATGGGATGGGAAAAAAAAAAAAAAAAGTAAAAGGACACCTCTTTAAAAAATAGTTTCTGCTGCAAGTAATATACAGGGTTGTCTGAAAAGTTCAGCTAGTGTATTGACAGGTTTATTTTGACACTTGCAAGTGGAACATCAAACATTTTTCTTCGCTTTTGGTATCTCAGCACATCTTTCTGTCAGAGTGTGAGTCAGTAAGATTTTACAGGTCTGGAGTCGTCACACCTACGGCGTAGGTTTCTCCTCTTCGCTCACCAGGACGTCCATGTGCCCAGTTGTTAATGTTGACAAGGCCAAACATTTGTCATGTAGCAGCGGGTAAGAGATCAAAGTCAAACTTTTCAAGGATGCCAAAATTGCCTAGGATGAGGTGAAATGGTTACTCGTCAAGGAGTCTGCTGCCTACTCTAGACTGTGTCGCGCCGTGTTTTTCGACAGCCCTTACATGGCTCCTTATGTGGATGAAAGTCGAAGCAGAAAGCAAAAGTTGAAGCCATGTAGCACATTTAAGGACAAGAGGGAAAGTAGCACTTTTCAAGGATAGAAAAAAAAGTAGTGTTCTTCAAAGTGCTGGAAAAAAAATGTCTGTCTGGATGTCAGACCTCTTATTGCCTCAAGGCAGTAGGTGTTAGGAACACTGCATGTAATTCTGTGTGTGTGTGTGTGTGTGTGTGTGTGTGTGTGTGTGTGTGTGTTAAGGAGGGGGTCTTTTTAAGCTGAGAAACTTAAAGCGTGGGTAACTTTAACATCAGCAAAATCCTTTCAAAATGAGGCGATAATGGCAGCCCACCATATATCACTACAGATGTTGATATTACATTATAGATGAAGATGAATGTGCTGATGATGGCTTTCTTGTATGCCTGCTGCATACTACTGAGTATCAAACAATAGCTGTTCTCACTCCGACTGATCAAAGACGTCCTGACCACTGAACTGCGGCTCGTTGGTTTGCTTTTTCAACTTCGGTTTGAAAAGGGTGCAAAGTATTTTCTTCTCTGGCTCTCTGAAAGGCAGTAACTGTTACTGTAATCACTTTGCAGTGGTGGGAGAAGTATTCATTCAAAGTAGTAATACTACAATGTAACTGAATCCAAAGACAACTTTTATTGTTGCTTAATCTGATGATGATTTTTGACCAACCGTCCAAAACCCAGTCATACTGTAAAAAACAGCATCAAACACTCACATGATCTGAGAACCTGCAACTAGAGAATTTTTGGTTGAAAAAATGATCAAAATGATTAGAAGATTATCAGAATAGTTGTCCATCAACTTTAATTTGATTGACTGTTCAATTCATCATTCTTTTTTTTCTTTTTTTTACCTACTACTTACGGTATGTAGCTTCTCAGCTGGGGTTTTCAGCTTCTCTGTGTTTTCATATCAGTGTATTTTGAATATGTTGCTGATTTCTAAATAAGCTGCTGAGCACCCCTTTATTTCTGGTGTAGCTGTCCATGGTCCTGAAAACAGCTTCCTCCTGCTCCCTGTCCGTGGTACTGAAAGGAAAACTCACATAGACCTCAAACTCTTACCTATTGTGTTTTCTTTGCTGTGCTGTTGAGAGCTAAGTGAGAGTGTTCTTCCTCTCTAAGCTTGTTTTGAAAGCTCTGTGGTCCTGTTTAGTTTGCCGTCTCTGGAGTGTTGTTGTTTCTTTGTTTTGTTTTTTTCGTGTTGGAGCCAGAGGATGATGGAAAGCTCTTTGTCCGGCTTAAGTCATCAACAGATGGTATTAATGCACTTATCAAAGCATACATTCACCCTTCTGACAAGCCTGCCTCAGTGCTAATGGCTTCCTGTCATTATTCCAAGTACAACACGTCATGTTGCACTAACAGTGTTCGACTTGTACATTTTAGACCACTTTCTTTGAGTTAGTCTTTCCCCCGTTTTGTTGTCATGCAGACGAAAACCACTGTTGTCAAACTTTTTTATCCTGACAAGGTAGAATAAAAGCATTCAGCTGCTGTTGTGCCGCCTTAATTGACCTCTAACCTTATCCTTGTCTGTCTTTCTCTTCCCTTCCTCATCTGTTTCCTGCAGTGGTGCTGCTGAACTCTAAAGAGACTCAGGCTGAGCTGGGCTGGACGTCATATCCCCCCAATGGAGTAAGTTGCATTTCTCATTGTTCGCATGTTAATTTATTTGTTGGTACACATGCTTGTTCACATGCGAGGCTCCACAACACAGTTGCTGGCTAAACAGCTGGCCCAGACCACTCCTCTGCACGTCTCCTGCTGTCTCCGTTCATGCCTTTTTTATTTTTCCTTCTTTAATTCATCCGCCCCCTTTTCTTTCTCACACCATGTGTTCACTTCTGTTCCCAGTCCAGAGCTCATCATTATCATTAATCAATGGTGCTAATCCAGGCTAGGATACTGCGGTGTCCAAAGCGGAGCAGGGATATGCCGCCACAGATAAATGGTCCCCCTCTGTATCGATTGATTTGGCTTGTAAAAACCTTGGCACTAAGTTATGACTGTAAGACAAATACAGGCGCCCTTTTTAAAGAAGCTGCCACTGCCACAGCAGTTTGTCACCCACTTCCCACCTGGAGGTTGGCCTTTCCCCACCCACTCTCTCTCACACACACACACACACACACACACACACACACACACACACACACACACAGACACGAACCGTGTTATAAAAATAGCAGAGACAGAACACACTGCATCTGTTTGGTTTAGTCACCTTGGCAATAGAGTAGTTTATCACATTACCATCACATATAATCCATCTTCACTGTGTGTGTGTGTGTGTGTGTGTGTGTGTGTGTGTGTGTGTGTGTGTGTGTGTGTGTGATCCACATTCAGCTCACTTTCATTTCTATGAAATCGGAGTGTCTCAGTCATTCAAACAGTGACACGTTCATAATCTCTCACCTGTTGGACAAATTTGGCTTAACACTGGAATTTTTCTCATGTCAAGTCAGTGAAGAAGTCAAAGACCCTTGATAGGTCATTGCTGTATTTTAGTTTGGCCCCACCCCTTGACTAAGAGAAAATTTTTACACAATACAACAACCAATAATGACTTACAGTAAAGTATACCTCAAAGGAGCTATTTGTAAGTTTTGCTATTGCCACATAGCTCAATGATGGCTGAAGCTCTTGTTAAGCGACAATCACCACCACCCACTCCCTGCAAGAACCTATTATTGGCAACAGAGAAAACTTAGAAATAGTTCCTTTAAGTAAAGTTTAAGGTCTAACCAATTTAAATTCTTCATTTGTTTATGGAACAACAATTTTCACTTAGTCGCCAATTGTTTAAATTATGACAGGATTGTTATTTTCCTCTGCCTTTCAACAAACACACCTTCATGACTTGTGGCGCACACAAAAGCCATGTTATTTATGTAAATAAAGAACTGACAGTGTCTCTTAAGAGGAAATAATAAAATAAAATATGCTTTATGGCTGAGAAAAAGTTAAAGACCCCTCCCTTAACTCATGGTTTCATATGGAGTGAAGGGAAGAGATGCTTTGTGTTCTACTTCTGATATTTCACTTTAACAACTTTTGTCAGCAGATGAATCAATATTTATGAATCATACAAATCCAGACAGCACTTTTTTTCCATGTTAAGATTGATCAATAAAATCAACAAATCAATATCAATAAACATCTGTTTCCTCTGCTCTTTAGCACGGAGTCTCGATCACTACCAACATTTAATTATCAGTATTCCAATATTTGTTTATTGGACAAGTTGAAACACTCCATGCCTACACTGCATCACTTTTAGTACCACAGGTGTCAAAAGAAACTGTTTGACAAAGGAACTAAGATCTGAGCCACAGTTTCAGCTGCGTCACTCAAGGCTGATGTAATGACTCAGCACCTGCAGTTTGTCATTTTCTGTCACGTTATTAAAGAAACTGAGTGCCAATGATTTTTCAGACACCCACACATGCACTCGACAGATTATGTAATTAGACCTGAAATGACGGTGTTCTTTCTTTCTCTATCCTTTGACTTTCTTTTTCATCATCTCTGTTGCCTCACACCTCCCTCAATTTACGTTGTTTCATTTCACTTCCTGTTTTTTTTTTTACTTTACTATTGACTCTCCTCCCATCTTTTTTTGCCATAACCGTCATCCCTTGTCTTTCTTTTCTCTCATCGTCTTCTTTACACCTCCATATTTACTTCTCCTTGCTGTCCCTTTCTCTTCCTCTTTTCCTGTCCTCTTCTTCCTTCTCCAGTGGGAGGAGATAAGTGGTGTAGATGAGAAGTACAAGCCTATCCGGACATACCAGGTGTGCAACGTGATGGAGCCCACGCAGCAGAACAACTGGCTGCAGACCGGCTGGGTGGCGCGCCGAGGCGGCCAGCGCATTTTCGTGGAGCTCCAGTTCACGCTGCGCGACTGCAACAGCATCCCCGGCGTTGCAGGTACCTGCAAAGAGACCTTCAACCTCCTCTACGTTGAGTCGGACAGGGACCTCGGGGGTGTGACCCGAGAGGACCGCTACACCAAGATCGACACCATTGCTGCTGATGAGAGCTTCACTCAGGGCGACCTCGGTGAGAGGAAGATGAAGCTGAACACGGAGGTGCGTGAGATCGGCCACCTCAACCGCAAGGGCTTCCACCTGGCGTTCCAGGACGTCGGCGCCTGCGTGGCCCTGGTGGCCGTGCGGGTGTACTACAAACGCTGCCTCGCCACCGTCCAGAACCTGGCAGTGTTCCCCGACACGGTGGCTGAGGCGGCCTTCGCCACGCTGGTAGAGGTGCGCGGCACCTGCGTCAACAACTCTGAAGTTGACACAGACAGCCCTCCCAGGATGCATTGCAGTGCTGAAGGGGAATGGCTGGTGCCCATTGGGAAGTGCAGCTGCAGCGCCGGCTACGAGGAGGGACACAGCAGCTGTGAAGGTAGGAAATTAAAAAACAGACGGTGGGATCTGTGGGTAGATGTTGTTCCTTTTATTCCCTCTGGGACTCAGAGAAAATAAAAGGAACAAGAAAGGGAGTTTGGAAAAAAGAGGAGAACGGAGGAACCAAATAAAAGAACAAGGAATAAAAGTGTTTCCAAAGCAGATGTTACGGTAGGAAGTTAATTTCACTACTTCAAGTACTGTTGATGGCTTTGAAGTTTTTGCTAGAATAACAAAAAACTGTGAACAGTTTCCCTAGTTTGAGAGAGTGCAACAAAGAGAGAGAGAGAGAGACCATTGCAAAAATCGATCTTTTCAATTCAATTTTGTACATTTTGAGTCCTGAAAGCTGAATTTTCTTACAAAAATCTGTTTCCAGTATAATTCAACTTGGTTTATGAATTCAGTAGAAATGAGTGACAGTCTCTTGAAAGAAGACAAACTAGGACAAATGATTTCACCACCAACACAATTTTTTTTTTAACAAGTTGATTTGCATTGGGAACTTGAAATGATCTCAGCCACCTGACTGGACGAGACCCCCTTTGTTTTAAGAAAACAAGACTTTTTAGAACCTAATTTTTAGATGAAAACAATTTAATAAGATGAAGATTTTTGCTGTGAAACCGAAGAGAGGGAGACAGATGGAGGAAAATATGGATAAACAGAATATGGAGAGAGGAGCTAGAAGTGAGAAGTGAGGCTATTTACACTAGCAGATTAAAGAACACAAAGAAGATGATCCATATGAAAAGAGACACTGGAGATGTGAAGATACCGACAGATACTGTAAAAATGTAGGAGAATTGTGAGGAATGATTTCACATGAGCAAGAAAGGAGAGAGGGAATCAAAAAAGAAGCTGCGTTAACAAGTGTTCAGACAAGGAGGAGGACACAGAGTGCAGACAATGGAAGAACAGAAAAGCTTCTCAGTCAATTTCAGTCCATACCTGCTTTTGTTCATCTCACAGTGACATCAATGAGTATCAGCGATGTCAGATTGTGTCACGTGTGTGTCCAAAGAGTGTTGTCACACATATCGACATGTGAGGTGTGGTGTGTGAGGCGGAAGGCTGCACAATGTGAAGGGCTTTGTGTGTGTGTGTGTGTGTGTGTGTGTGTGTGTGTGTGTGTGTGTGTGTGTGTGAGAACACAATGACTAATGTACTTTTTCTTCATAGGGCTGTGTCCCTTTGAGTTTAACACCACAGCCTCTCCTCTCACATTTGCATGTAGCCTGGATGGCCTACACACACACACACACACACACACACACACACACACACACACACTTACACTTACACCGGTGGGTGGCGTGGGGTGTTGCGCTCTGACGCAAACACATTCGGACAGTATTGGAATCTTTTGTCACAACCCATTGCTCATACAGCAGCAGCAGTTTGATCGTCTGACTGTTGCTGTTAGCTTTCACACCCCATCTTGCATTGTTGTGCAACGCAGCGTGGGTGTTGGAGTCCACGGACGGCAGAATGTGCGCGTTGCAATGGAAGGGAAATCTTAGTAGGAGTGCTGAGCTCATAGTGAGCTCATGCTGTTCTGGTCGACGTTTGCAATTTGATTGCTACTCTTGGAAATTAAGTTCCGTTTTGTTTGACGTGTGTGACTTACAGCATGTGCATTGATAACGTTTTTCACTTTGAACCCATTGTGACAGTAAATGTTAAGATCAGACAAGAAAATAAGAGATGGATTAAAACTGCTGTTCACTCCAGTAATTAGATTTAGAGAGAGCAGGAATGAGGGCAGAAGAAGACAGAAAAGAAAATCAGTCAGCGAAGGAAAAGAAGGTCTTCGGTAGAACTTTGATACTAGATATAAAGTCATAGAGGTAAGGAGTCTAAGTGGAAATCGAGGGTTTGCATGCACATGGTATTTATGGAAGTAGAGTTAGAGACAACAAACAAGTAAGAGGTAAAGGCTGCGGAAGAGACGGTTCAGAGGAAGAAACTGTCTCTTTTAAACTACCAGATCTCCTTTTAAATGTAGAGAAGATAAGAAAAGAAAAAGTTAGTAGATGCAGCTAGACTGCCAACAAGCCATGCAGAACATTTGCTCTGCTGCAGAATTGGAGTGTTTGACAGTTGGAGATAAGCACTGGTCATTGATATTGGCAGCCAATCTGTGTGCAACACAAAATACGTGTTTATTGACCTGCTTTTTCGTAATAACCAGCAATGCTGTAATAAAAGCTGAGCTGAAGGAAAATCTGATGAGCAGACAAACTAATAGAGACACTGAGGAGAATGTAACAATGAGCTACAGGCAAAGTCAGGAAGCACAGAGATAAGGAGACTTCCAGCGGTGACAGGAGACATTCAGAAGGAAAGGCAGGAGTAAAGGGAGTACGGGACAGGCCAGGCATGTTGCCAGAGGAGAGAGTGAGCGGACAAGGATGGTGAAGTCCAGTGACAGCGCCAATGAAGACAGGAAGCCCAGAGAGAGAGGGAGGAAAAAAAGAGAGAGAGAGAGAGAGAGAGAGAGAGAGAGAGAGAGAGAGATCTCATACTGTATCTTTGCTGCTCGGATGCAGTTTAGCGAGTAACGGTGTGGTCTACGAGGTGCCAGGGCCTGTCTTTGTCTCTCTCTCTCTCTCTCACTCTCTCTCACACACACACACACACACACATACACACACACATTCACACACACTCACACGCACTTCCCCTATAGTGCCTCATTTCTCAGTTCAGCCGTAATAGTATGAATATGCAGTGCCAACCCCCGACATCTCCCACTGCACCAGAGCTATTGATCAGCCGTAATGCTCCACTAAACTGAGGAATTGCGCTGGGACTGCTCATACGCACATATAGTAAAGGACACACATATTCAGTAGCACTCTGTGGTGTCTGCGCAGCACACACACACACACACACACACGCACACGCACACGCAAACGGTTTGATTTCACTCTGTGTGTGGAACACGGAAACTGCATCGAGAGAAATGGTTAGTAAAATTACAGCAGTGTGCTTGTTTGTTGTGTGTGTGTGTGTGTGTGTGTGTCTCTCACAATCACGCTCATGCACGTGTGCTTGGAGGACATGCATGGCTGACTGCTGTGAAACATAATGTAATGAATGTAAAGCAGGCAATCGTGGAGTATACATAACCGTGACGTTACTAATCTCCGCGTGTGTTTGTGTACAGTTCTATGCAGGTTCTGTAACTACTGTACGTCTTATTTACTCCTGGGTCTAATTGTGCAGCTGAGCGAGTGCAAATGCACTAAGTGTCTCCATGCAGGTCAATAATATTGAATAGCCAGTCAGGAGCCACTGATAATGGTGTAAGCAGATAGTGTTGCGCAGTAGAGGAGAGGATTATTACCTCAGTAGCTCAGATTATTGTATCTGTTGTCATAGTGTACTTTTTTCTAACCTTTTCTGCAGTTTTAATGCTGATACAGGAATAACTAAATTGCTGACTAACTGGAAAGTGAACTTTATTTAACACAGCAAATAGCCCACATGTTTATGTAACGCAGCCAGGCGATGCATGCGTTTGCTTATCATAGTTCAGATTTTATCTTTGGGCATGATAACTGAATTACTTTCAAATTGTAGAAAAGCTGAAGCAAGAAAATGCATGTCATATCAGAATATTCTCTTTGCTTTTGTCTCTTTAAACTGAGTTACGACAAAAAAAAAAAAAAAAAACTATAGAAAGAATGAATGAATGAGAGAAAATCCTGGCGTCTAAAGTGAAAGAGAAACACTTAATCCCCAGTTGCTGAGAAGCCTGGAAGACTGTGGTGGCGCAGCTTCTGGTCGTGCATGTGAGGATATGATTGAAAATTAGCATATGTGCCCAGTCAGCTTCATCTCGTGTAATAAAGGTGTAAAAAGAATTAAGAAGCAGAACAGTGAGAGGTGATATTGTGTAGAAACCATCCTTCACTTGAGCTCTCTTCAGTCGGGAGGACTTGCAAGGGCACGCACAGCGTAGTTGGACCCTGCGTGCATTCACAAATTCGCATCGCATGTACTTCACGGTGATGAGCACACACACACACACACACCCACACACACACACACACACACACATTCTCCACTCTCATTATGAAAAGCCACGAGCAGGAACAGACCTAGGGGGGAAAAAATAAATTATGTAATAATTCACCTTTCAAATACACATGTTTCATGTGCATGTGTATTCTCTGTGTTGTTGCTGCGTGTGTTTCTGTCACACTCATGAGCTCCATCCTGCTCTAATTAAGGCAGGCTGCTCTTTCTATATAATTACTGAGTGTGTCGCGTGCCTTCAGCAGATTCTCTTATTATCTCTGTTGTTTGCTGCTCCACAATCCGGCTCCCGGCACATTCACCACCCAGCTATTCCGTTCTATTGCTCTCCCGCCCTCTGTAATTTACAAAACGCCTTAATGCCCCCCCCCCCCCGCATCCCCGCTTCTTCATTCCCCACCCCCCCCACCCGACACCACCACCACCACACACCACACACACACAGCACACACACCCAGCCCTCCCTATGCTGCCAGAGAAGTGTGCACTTAAATTTCTATCCACATGATCTCAGTGGTGCTTGCTAACTTCTCTACCTCCTCAGCCCCCCCCCTTTTATTTTTCACTCCTTTCCCTCTCCTTTGCTTTTCAGTCTTTCTGTCCCTGTTTTCTTTTCGATGTTCTCTCTAACATGCAGTGTCTGTCTCTCCGCCCCTCTCTCCCTGCCCCCCTGTGGGGACCATGTGGTAGGGTGAGATGGGGTGAGGCAGGGTGAGTCAGGTTAACAGGCTGAAATCTGCTGGAGAAGCTTGGAGATTTATCTGATGTGTGTGTGTGTGAGAGAGAGAGAGAGAGAGAGAGAGAGAGAGAGAGAGAGAGAGAGAGAGAGAGAGAAAGAGGAGAGAAGAGGAGAGATGAGAGAGGAGAGGAGAGAAGGAGAGAGAGAGAGAGAGAGAGAGAGAGAGAGAGAGAGAAAAAGTGCGTGTGTGCGCGCGCATTCGTGTGTGCTCA